AAGATAAGTAATTTAGAAAGGGGAACTCAAAGATGCGTCGGTGGCATAGCGGTTAGGACGTTCGCCGACCATGCACACGGTCCGAGGTTCGATCCCCGGCCGACGCACTCCTTTACCTCTCTAAGCCAGAAATAATGCTGGTGAAGAGGAAAGGTTGGACATGAGGCTAGCAACCCCATCCTGTAAAATAAACACTGCTACAGAAACTTCAAGTCACTAGCTTGAAGCCCTATGTTCCACTGGGGAACGTGAAGGATAAAAAAAATCAAGCGTGCTGCATGCATTAAAATAAAACCACACAATTGAGTGGTTCAGAATGACAATTGTGAAAAGTGATATAGGTATATGTAGAGAGAGATTGATTACTGAATTCTGCCGAGTTCATCGAGTCTACACACCCAACACATGCAACAGAAATGACTCAAGGCAAATACCAGAGATATGGAAGATATTATTACCACCAGTCAGTCAAATCAGAGGAGGATAATAAATTATCTCAAAATTCTATCTCAATTCACATACATTATAACATTCTAACAAGTTACTTATTTTGACTATGAAAACAGTCGTCTTATTTCCCATCTGTTTGTATTTGGTTGATAACACTCATATTATTATCTCTGAATGTACATTATCCCATATTGATTTTAATTCAAATGTCTAATCAACAATTTTTACTCACGTATGTAAATGAAGGGAAATAGTTGTGTGAGTGCCTTGATATGATTATGAGCAGTAATAATTTGTCCTCGAAACGTGGTCATCCGTAAATATTACTGTATAACAACACTGTATGATTTATTAAAATAAAATCTTATCCATAATGGAGGTATACTCTACGAGAGTGTCCAAGTTTTATACTTATATCAATCCTGGCAGCTAGCTAACCAAACAAGAACTTATTGCCTGAAAAATATACCGAAAGAAATGGATATGAATGGGACAGCTATGTGAGTAGAACTCGAGTGGGAACTGACTAGTTGGGCATCAATTAGAGGGTAATATGGAAAAGCTCGTGTGGGGAGAAAATAAAAGCTTATAATCAGTTGTCGTGCAGTTTAGAAAGGACTGCAGAAAACGTAGTAGAATGGAGATGTGCTGTTAAAGCTCTTTGTTTCCCTCGGAACCCAAGATAATAATAACAATAATACCGACTTATTTACCTGAGAACTGAATAAATTTGTCCAAAAATTATATCAAAATAATCTACTAAATATAGAGAACGATTAGTGTGATTTGTTTTCGTTTTCTTCCTTTTTATTTTCTCTTCCCTTTTTGTGTTCCTTTTGTTGTATTTGTTTTTAAAAATTGAGCGAAAACAAACATCATTACTACTAATAAGCATATGTATCTTTTTTCCCCTCTCATATTGTTGCGTTTCGAATGGTACATTTCGTCCTCAAGCTTTGAAGATACATTACAGGCAGTGATGTTGGTTTTCACGCCGCCAACCTTGGTTTTTACGTGATTCCCTACCGAATGATGAGTGAGATTTTTTATGAGTTGGCCGTGAATCCAACGCGAAACCCTTGTAGCAGTGAGGTTCGCGAGTATCCTACCGTTAGACCACCGACTCGTATTATGAGCATAGAAGTTTGCGCAGATGTTCAGTAGTGCGAGTTAACGCTATCCACGTAACACATAAAATAAGGGAGGAGAGTAATGAGAGGTTCAAAAGAGAGATGACAAACAGAAGCGTGAGTAAGGAAAAAATAATAGTAGTATGGAAAAACAATCAATTTTTTTGCTGGATGGGATAAATCAAAAGGGGAGAGAATGCATCTGCCACATTGAGCCATATCACCAACTGTCTCTAGCCGTCGTTGGTTCTTACCACACCGAGGACCCTAACCCAGAAGAAGGCTAAGTTAAACTTTAAGCACCACTAACTATCAAGGGGGTGCGACCGCGCCAATGACCCTGAAACGCTCACCAAGCAAGCCAGTGAAACCTGGAAATCAATGTTGTCATAATCAACAAAATATGCTCATTGAAGAGTTAGGTTGTTAAGTGGGATATCTGGCAAGTTTCAACTTAGGCTTGGGTAAGATTAAGTTACGGTTTAAGCCAAGGACAAGTTAGGGTTAGGTTAACCTAATGAAGGCGACATTAGGGTTGGTTCAAGTTAGATTACAATTAGTTGAGGGATATTTTCACATTTGGGTTAGGTTCAGGCAAGATTAGGGTTATTGTTGAAGACCTAAATAATAACATCTTTAGAATGTGGTTAAATTACTCTGTTGATATAAGTATAGAACTTGTGTATTTTTTTTCCTTCACGTTCCCCAGTGAAACATAGGGCTTCAAGCTAGTGGCTTGAAGGTTCTGTAGCAGTGTTTATTTTACAGGGTGGGGTTGCTAGCCTCATGCCCAACCTTTCCTCTTCACCAGTATTATTTCTGGCTTAGAGAGGTAAAGGAGTGCGTTGGTCGGGGATCGAACCCCGGACCATGTGCATGGTCGGCGAGTGTCCTAACCGTTATGCCACCGACGCACTTGTGTATTGTGGTAGAGTATAATTCCATTGCAGGGTAAAATTTATTTTAATAAAGTCTCACAGTGTTGTTATACAGTAATATTTACTGACGAAGTTTCCAGCAAAGTCTATTGCCCAGTAAATGTTACTGCATAACACTGTAAAACTTTATCAAAATAAATTTTATCCACAATGGAATTTATGCTCTACTGATACTCCAACCTATTGCTGAGAGCTATTTTTATCACTTATGAGAGGAAAGTATCCTATGTAACACTTTTCTACAGTTTTTATGCATTTTTTTCATAAATAAATGTATTCCATAGACAAAAATGCCTCCTTCACGTGATTGGTGCGTTCGAGGTCATTCGCTGATTGGTGGTAGTTAGTGGTGCTTAAAGTTTAACTTTGCCCAGAATACTTTACCCGCCTACTTGGCAGCTGGCTATAACTTACCATTATGGATTTCATTGACGGATGAAGCCGTGTTTTGGTTTTATCAAGCATCATTAGGTCTTTTCCAGCTTGATCGTATGTCAGTCAGCTAACATTGTCCATCGAGGAAGCGATGACTAGGCATGCGTAACGCATTTTCTAGTGAACTCTTCATCAGTGCGTACCCTTGAACCCCTCTCCACACACCAGGGATGGAATCAGTGACTTTCAGGTTATGAGGTAAATCTCGTTTTGCACCATTAAGTCACTGGAACAACATGCAAGAAACGATCCATAAATTCTGACTTTTGTGCGTCGGTGGCACAGTGGTTAGGATTTCCGCCGACCATGCACGTGGTCCGTGGTTCGATGCCCTCCTGACGCACACCCGATATCAATGGTTGGCCTGCAAAATTGGGCTACCGATATCACATGCTGAAAATTCCATACTTTTACCAAAAATACGGTGTGGAATAAAGCTATGATCAAATCAAATCAAATTTAATATTATTAAATGGAATAGGAAAGCATGTGATCCATTTTTCTAAAATTTCACATTTTATCGCGTGTTTGCGAATTCCAAATGTCAATCTTTTGTTTCGCTTTTTAGTTTTACTTTTTAATACATTATGTTCATGCTCTTACATATATTTCCATTTGGATTTTGAGATTAAATTTACAACGAGAGTGTGGGAAATCATTCAGAATCTCAAAGTGGTTAATACTTTATCAGATATCAGTTTTAATTTTTCCAGGCAGATGTATTCTCTGCCTTTATCAGGCATTTTTAATGCAATTTCCTCTAACTTTCAAAACGCGAAACCAATAATCATGATAGCAGTCAGGCAACCAAGGAAAAACCGAAGACCATAGGCGGCATAACACGCGCGGATATTTTATTTCCTGCGTAAACGAGTGCATTTTCGAAAACTTGTATACTTGAGATAAACAAAGATTTTTCAGCAATATGTATCCGTGATCGCTCTGGGGATTGACTTCGTCACCTTAAAATTATTGGCCGAGTGGTCAACGCACTTGCCTCATGACCTGACTGACTGACTGGTTTCAACGTAGAACTTTGCACCGATGTACAGCAGTTCAAGCCGCCACACCCCACTCCATGTAGCACACAAAGCAATAGAAGAAAGTAAAAAGAAATACAAAATAGAGACAGTAAACAGGGATATGAGACATAGAAATAGTAATAACGAAGAACAATATAGTTTTATTGAATATTATAAGTCACAAAGAGTGGATGCATCTGCACCAGCCATGCAGAACGACGAGTTTGAGCCATATCACCAACTGTCTCCAGCCTTCATTGGTTTTTATCGTCCCGAGAACCCCAACCAGGAAGTCTACATCTCCCTACATGGCTTAAACTAACTGTTGTGGATTTCACTGAATGATGAGGCCATGTTTTGGTTTGACCACAACTGGTATTTTTCTACCTGACCCTATGTCAGACACCTAACATTGCCTGTCGAAGAAGGCGATGGCTAGGCATACGTCTCACATGTCCTAACCTTCTCAGTCAATGTAACTTCACAATTTCATCGATTGATTTCCCCTCTTCACCTAGCACTCACTGGACGCCTAACCTCAATATTGCTCACCTTATTATACCACTTCACACGGGCGATAGAACGTAGGCGCCTATGATCAAAGACAGGTAGCCTTTTCGTATATCCCACTTTCAATGACCATGTCTCACGCACAGCCATGAAGGAGGATGTAGCGAAATGCTGCTGATCCGTACGCACATTGTTTGAACGACAGACAGCCGGATATCATGTCTACGCCAGAGATGATGTAGGTTAGGAAATGTTACATAAGCCAGTGGGACACTAATGAGTACTACAATAGTTGTGAAAAGTAAGCTTGCAGGGATTTGAGTGATTTCAAGCTCGCTCTCAAACTGGTTTCAGTTACACAAGAAACCATGGGATACTCTAAAACGCTTTTGTACTTTTTCTGGACCCTTCATAACATATTTGTTTGTTTTAAGCGTAGATTTATATCTGATAAAAGTTATAACTATTAATAACTTCTTATGTTCTTTCAATGATATTTCCTTCCAAAAATTTAGAATTAATGCCACTTATGAGGTTCAAATGAATCAACGTTCTGGACGTGAAGCAATTGTACGCTGTGAATACACGCATACTGATAATCGTACAATATATCGTGAAATATTTTTACATGAAGCAACTAAACCAACTGCACCAAATGTAAGTGTGAAAGATGCTGTTTTTTCCCCAATTAATTAAACGTTTTATCTGATTTCTCATTAAAATGCATCATCAGTTGAATGTGTGTGAGTGCGTGAGTGTGTGTGTGCAAGAGCACTCGAGTAACCACTGATGTTTCATAACGTAGAATAAAGTATGAAATTAGATGTTCAGTTATGTCTAACCTCCACTGTATTCAAATTTTAAAATAAACTATTTAAACAAACAAATGTTCTGGCGTTGGGATCACCAATATCGCCAGTAATTATTGTCATTATTATTGTTTCCTTTAATTCCTAAAGGAACATAGGGCTTCAGCCGCACGTCTCCATTGCGTTCGGTTCTCTGCCAACATTTCCACTTGGCTCCAAATCTGCTCACATGTTTTCATCTACTCTTCGCATCACCTCCTCCTCCATGTTATCCTCTCACTGACGACCAACTCGACACTTCTCATTCGGGTTACACTGGAGCAATGGCCTGACGTGTGATGTCACTCACTCACTTGATGGTTTGTTTTCTCAGAGTATGGCCAGCCAATCCACCTGCAGGTCTTCCTACATATTGGTTTCACAATTGGTTCCTGCTGATGTTGCTGATGTTTTCTGGCCGGCCATCTGATCTTGAGTAGTACTGAGCGAAGACAGTTAGCTGTTGATGAAGTCTTGTTGTTTGTTTGAAGTGGCCTTCGTGACGCGGCGCCAAGTCTCTGATTCGTATATAGTTGCACTGACTGACTTCACACTGGAGTTGAAGATCCGGATCTTATTTTTCCTGCTGAGTGCTGTTGACCTATTAAAACTATTAAAATATTTATTCCAGTATCTAAGTTATCCTGGAGATGTGTGGATGACACATTCCATTACTGTGTTGAAATCTGAACATATCCCTCAGTTCCTTACACATATATAAACTCAATAGTAGATGGAATCCAATCCAATTCACTTCTGAGTTAGAAAATGAACAGGGTGAGTTGGCCATGCTAGATTGCAAAATAAAGTGAAAACAAGATGGTGGGTTAGATACTAGCTGGCATTTGTAGGAAATCGAAACACTACAATAACTACTTAGACTTTAATTCATCCCTTCCAGAATCAGGACAGGAAGATGGATTTAGTTAAATGTCTTTATAATCGGGCCAAGGGCCTAACTAGTAGACCAGGACATTTAAATAATGAAATCAAACGAATAAAGGAGATTTAGAAACACAAGTAAATAGAAAATCAACGCGCACAGATCAAATACTCAACTATACTAGCAATAATCCAGTTACTCACAACCGAAACTGTGTGCAGACATTGTTTAAAAGAGTTCAAACACACTGTAGCATTCCAGAGTTGAAAAGAATGGAAGAAAAATACCTTCCAACTAACCGTCTTCAAAAAGAATGGTTATCCACAAAATTTCATCAAAAAGTGTTAAAAGTCGAATCAAAACACCAACAAAGAACCATCATCAAAGACCACAAGAAAATTCATTCTACCATACATGAGAATTATCTCTGAAATAATAGCTAGAATACTGAAATTGTTTGATATAGATATAGCACACAAACCAGTAAAAATGCTTAATTCAATATTATGCAAACCAAAACATTCAACAGAAAAAGGAGATAAAATTAATACCATTTACAAAATAAATTGTTTGAAATGCAACAAGCATTACATCGGCCAAAGTGGGCGTCCCCTTCGAATCAGAATCCAAGAACACAAATCAGCCATGAAAAGACGCGATATGCATTCTTTAGTATCAATGCATATAGACAATTATGGACATCAGTTTGATGATTGGGATAATGCCCAAATCTTAGACAGAGAAAGTACCAAAATGCATTCAGGGAATTCCTAGAAGCCTGGCACTCAAACGAAAATGCAATTAACGAACACGTTAATATAGACAAAATATACCAACTAATAAAAAGTAAATCAGGTGACCAGAAAGTTTAAAATCCAAGTCAATAGAAAGTGGTCAATACATATGTAAAGATGGTTGCCGGGAGACGCAATTATATCACTCATGAAGAAATTTAAATCATTTCACTTCGTACTAAATATTGCGCTGAAAATGTTGTCCAGAAAGACGACGAAAGCTTCGCAACTAAACCAACCAGCTCAGAGAACACTATTAATTGCGAATAAAGTAAATATTACTAGTGAATAACTGCCCAGAAATGAATGAAGAACCATAGAAAACTAAGACTAGCAATAAAAGTGACGAAAACAATAGAGAATTCAAAGCCTCTGTCGTACTGATGTATACGGAAGGAGCATCAGAAGCTTTAGATGACATTCTCAATGATGCTTGAATTATGGTGGCATTTAAGCCAACCAATAAACTCTCTGAGAGATAAAGTTTGTCGGCTTAAGAACCCAATAAATTCAATCATGAGAAATAATATAATTTACCAAAAACCATGAAATGACTGCTTGTGAGGTGAGTTACATAGGTCAAACTATTAAATAGATCAGAGTCAATTAGACTATTAACTAGACCCAGAATGACTGATCCTGGTGAGTTAAATAACCTAGAAAAAAACATCAACCATCGCAGTGCATTCATCGGCATGTAGTCACACAAAATATGGTTGGAAGAACTGAGTGAGAGCATTAAAAAGTAATATAGTTAGGCGGAGAAAGGGAGGTTAATCACTGAATCTCTATTTATCGATTCAACACCCCACACGTGCAATCCGAATGACGCAACGCCTACCTACCGGAGATATGGAAAGTGGCAACAAACAACAAGGTGAAGAGGGGGAGAGAGAAAATATATATAAGACTGATTGTGAAACCGGGAGACTAAATTGATATGATTATGAGCAGCAATAATTTATGCTCGAAACCTTGTCACATCCAGTTGTCAGTACTGCATCACTCACTGTGTGATTATTAAAGTAAACCGACGAATTTAGCGGAGAGCAACAGTTCCTGGCCGGTATCTGTGGGGTTTCTTAACGCCATCAGTAGATTGGTGCGCTTTTACGGGAAGCATTGGTGATCAGCTCCTCTCTCTCGGGGTAACAGTCTGCTTTGTGCGACGAGCCATAGCGAAACACCGAAAGACGATACCAGTATCAAGATTTATCAGTAGTACGTAAACAGACATTCATAGTCACGAAAATATCAAATAGCAGAGAGATAGATTTTATTTACATATTTTTTGGTGTCAGTGAATATCCCTTAACATACTACTGATAAATCTTTTCAGTAGCACACGCCACAAGTATACTAAAGTTGCCTGCTTAGTATTCCGATTGCCAACATAATCGTATATCGGTAATATTTTGACATTTAAAGATATTAATATTATGAATAAGAATATATGAACTCTTCTGATGTTAACTCGTTATTCACTAATATGCCTTTGCTCGAAACAGTTGACATTTTGTGTGATTACATTTCCACACACAGTTTTTTCATCACATTCCCTATATCTATCTTATTTAAGGGATTTATTACTTCTATGTACTAACAATGTTAGGTTTACATTTGAAGGCGATTGTTTCCGCCAAGTTGACAATGTTGCTATGGGAAATCCGTTAGGGTCCCTTTTAGCGGAAATCTATATGTCGTACATTGAGCATTTATTGGGGGGTTTAATCGAAAATGTGCCACTTTATAGAAGGTATGTAGATGATATTGTAATCATCAGTGATAAGTCTTGTTCTACCACCTCAATTTTAAATCTATTGAATGAAGTTCACAAAAGCATACCACTTACATCTGTAGAAGAGGAAGATAATTGTTTATCCTTCCTAGATATAGTGCTCAGTCGACAGCTTGATGGGTCAATAAAGAGATCTATGTATAGAAAACCTACCTGAACAGGACATTATCCTAATTACCACAGTTTCTGCCCTTTTCGGTACAAAAGAGTCTTAGTTAGGTGCCTCTTTAGTAGACTCCAACGAATATGCACTGAAGACACACTTGATGAAGAAGAAAGAAAGTTGACACAAACTCTGGTTGATAATAATTATTCGAACAAATTCATCAGGAGATATAAAGTAGTCAGAGCACCAAGACCCACTCTCTAACTTGCCCCTAAGAAAGACGTGTACATCAAACTAGCCTATATGGGGCATCAAAGCAGCTTGATAACTAAACAAAGATTGAACCCTGCTGTTAAAAAGACTTTTTATACGTTTAATATCATAATAATTGAGAGTGTGAAGCCAATATGTCCATACGAAAAATGATGTCACATCCCACTGTATTTACCAGTTTGAATGTACGTGTGGACATACATACATAGGGAGTACTTACTCATCGATCTCTGCAAGTAAGGGCTGGCTTCAGAGCATATTCTTAAATGGCTCCAGAAACAAATAGAATCTTCAGAACCCATTAGTGATGAGAACAGCAGGCCTGGCTCCTCTATCGCGAAACATATTATAGAGACAGGACATAAAATTGATGTTAACAGATCTTTTAAACCCATCTATGAAACGTGTTTGGGGCTTATCCTAAAGTTTGTGAAAGCCCTAGCTGGTAATTAGGAAGTTTAAATCACCTTTATGTGTTCAAAGCAGCACAATTCGTCATCACACTAAACCACCTTTCTTGGTAAACTTTGTTTTGATACCAGCCAGCCTAGATGTACTATTACCTCTGTTATTTGGTTTAGTGGTCTTCATTGTTATTTTGACCTACAATGTGTGATCTTACATCTTCTTATTTCTTTGTCTAAATTCATAAAGGGAACTAACTTTTTTTTTAATTTTAGGAATACATCAAAATGAATTACTCCATTGCAGGCTTTCTTGTGCTTCATTCAGCTATATGATTAAAATTTTGACAGCGTCAATAAAAGTCACATTAACAGAAGAAATGTTGCCATGTTACATGCAAGTATGCAAACATATATATATATATGCATACACGCATCCAGAGATTTGGCAAACATCAGCGGAAAACCTTGATTTTGGTTGGGTTTTTCTTGGTATTCATTAAAAGGCTGTCAAGCTGTCTAATAGCATACATGTCGTCTAGTGAAAGGCA